GGGAGAGAGTCAGTACGACTCAGAACAATGAGTGGAGATCTAGGGATGAACAATGAGGAATTGTTCAGACACGTGATGCGGTGGTTCAAATGCATCCGCAGCACGGCGCAGACGTGTCAAGACGTGTCTACGACGTAACTTGAAGGATCGTCGCCAGGACGAATGCAGTGCCAGGGTGGCAGTCTTATTGTTCAGAACGCGAAACAGGCCGAGACCGCGCACTGTGGACAAACCACCGAGGAGTTCGAATAAACCTGGAAACCGTAATCGTGGGCTCTGGGGTTGCTATGCACCGCACTGAAACACTGCACGAGTCAGTGTGACTCGAAACAAGCCACGGAAACGGACCAAGCAGATTGAATGGTCATGTGATCTATTGTTGGCGGTTCAAACGCTTTCACAGCACGGCGCAAACACGATGGAGTTTCAGCAATCTGTCCTACAATAGTGGCGACATGGATATACGTTAAGAGGACATGGGAAGTGCTATACTGGCACTTTTGACGCACGGAAAGCAAAACAAGTTACCCTAGTGGAAAACGTGCACTGTGGTAGCGCGCGGAGGAGTTGAGATCTAGACAGGATCTTATAGATGGAGCCTGTGGGATGTCAATACATTGAGCCGAAACACTGAAGAAGTTACTGTGACTCGAAACGGCTCGCGCAAAGGTGGAACAATAGGCTTGGGCGTTCACGTGACCGTTTGATGCGGTGGTTCAAACGCCTTCTCCGCACTCCGCAAATGTGTTGCGACGGTTCTCTACGTGTCATTAAGGAAGGATGACTCAACGAAGGATTTTGGAAGTCAGAACGGACCCGAAACGAAGGTTACCACTGTTCAAAGCTGTCAACAATGTGGATTTTCGTGTTTTACACAGGGATTGGGCTGTGAAAGGGTTTATTTGGTTGGTACAAACAATAGCGGTATATAAGGAGCGCGAAATGTAGTAGAGAAAAAGCTTTCGCCCCCACGGGCATGCACATGCATATGTGTATTTAGCCTTGTACAAAATGTTGGAATATGGCATGGTGCCATCAGGTGGCGAGCACAAATGTCACAGAAAGCTTGAAGGATGCGTATGTTTTATTTCAGCCTTTCCTTCTTTTAGTTTAGTTATATTTTGTAATTCCCTTGTTCCGCTGTTTCAGACGTACATAAAAGCCAGTAGATAGTGGATGTATGGCTATCTGTTTGTCTATGCAAAATACTACCATGACAAGCTGTCCTCGCCGCGCGCCATTGTTATCGCTGCCGAGCTTTATTCCAAGCTGGGACGTTGCGGTCGAAAGATAAAATTATCGAGGCAGTTGAAGAACAAGTCAAGCTCGCATGCGCAGGAAATGCCACAACGCAGGGCGCAACCTCCTGCGCGGTGCTGGAGACATTCCAAGCTCTGCGGGAGTGGGACACACTCACGGGCCTTCCCGTATTGGTCTGCCGCGATGGAGAGACAATGTTCATGGTTGTTCCTACCAAGGTGCGTTCGCCACTCATTCAACCATAGTTGTACCATTGTACCAACCTCCTCTTCCCCATAGAAAATTAAATTGAACTTCAATGTCCAACACGACTCTTGTGCCGCCAAATGTGAAGCAATAGGGCAGCGACTTCGGAAGCAGAAATCGATTTTTCATTGAGCACAAACTGCTGGACCGCTACTTCATCAACTCTCATGCTCTCCACAATGCGAACCTCCTTCGTGTGTCTCTCTCTCCCGTGGGAGACGATTGCGCCAATACCACTCTTCGACGATCGAAAAATCGAAGCACCATGAATTTGCGGCAAAACTTCGAGAGATGCAGGCTAATCGACCTTCACAGAAATGGAGGCGCACCGCTAAAACAAAATCCAAACCAACGACAGTGCAGGGTGCTGCACAGGAGAGGTCTTGTTTATTACTTTGCACTCTAAATGACGAACACCAGAAGAGAATATGCAGAGTGGCAAAGTGGCGTCCAAAATTGCGCATTTGAAGGATGATGATCTATCATCAATATTGTCCTGCAAGCCCACATTAAAAATTTGAGGAGGTGGTTAGCTGTGTATTTAAAGCGCGGAGAGAATCAGTCTATGAGCAGACAAAAAGGTGACGAATTGAGCCCAGAGCAAGTGTTCTACTGAAAAAGCGACCAAGGCAAAAGGATGAGAATTGAAGCTGCCGCGACTGTCCCAGTTGCCGGGATCAAAACCCAAAATGGGGGAGAAATGTCAGCGCCTGTTGTACTGCAAAGAGCCGAAATAATGAATCATTGCTGTCCTCCCATGTTGCTCTCACATCAACAGCTGACCAATACCAAGCCCTCTCCGCGGCCCAAACTGAGTCATTACTTCCTTCCACGACTGCTAGAACCATTTCCCAACCCCGCGGTGTTCCGGTGCGCCAACAACCGTTCAACACAAGGCAAAATATTAAAAGCCAAAGTTTAGGCCGGTTTCATGCCGGTTCCCGCCAATGCCATGCGTGTTACCGCTTACTACCCGCCTCTCGCCGCCCACCAATGTACTACAACCCGATCGTCGCCCGCTGTCTTTCGCCGCCAGACATCCTTGGGCTCTTGACTCTTCCTCAGTGTAACCCTCATCAGATGTTGTTGCATTTCAGAATACCAGTGCATGGTGGATGATACTAAGTATGGGTGGTTGAATTCAAAATAAAAGCAGAGTAGGGGACCAGCGCTTGCGCCGCTATATAGATCAATCCTACCGGGTTAACAGGAGGTATGCCAGCATGTCCAGACACGGAGGGGGCCCTTAACGGCGACGCGTTCGGACGTGGATGGCCGCATTGGCCTCTCCGGGGTCCTGCTCCACCCTAAGCGGCGGAGCATCGGCAAATATGAGCCCGATCACGGAAAGTCCGTTGACCTGTCCCTGTTGCCATTAGGGATCGGCACCGTACCGTACTGCCATTTGGCAGCCCAAGTACGGTACGGCTACGGTACGGTCCGGGACCGTACCCAGCCGTACCGTACTGCCGTATACGGACCGTATACGGCAGGTACGGCTGTCATCGTCATCCATCATGATGACGACCCGATTTGGAAACTTGATCCGTCGGCTAACGTCGGCAGACTTCGGCATCGACGGTTTGGGCTCCGGAGGCTGTGAGACTTTTTTTGGACCGCCGCGCGGCGTGTGCAGGACGCCGCTGATCGCCAAGTTCACGATCCGTACATCCCCGCGGCTGCGCGCGCGCTGCTGCTGCCCCTGCAGGCGGTATCCCGACACGGGGCGCGCGGGGCGTGCCGCGCAACTACACCGTGTGGAACACGCCGGGCCTCAGCATCGGCGCCGCGTTCAACGAGAAGGTCGTCGTCGGCGGGCCAGCGACAAAGAACCTGGCGGCGTACGTCCCGCTATGTCCCCGGGGCCGTGACGATCGTCTACGACCGCGGGCGCGTAGACGGCGTGGTTTAAGTAAGTGATGCGTTATTGAAATACTACAGTAGAAATGTAAAGAGCAAATTATATTGCAATTTGTTTAAAAATCTTAGCTTTATGCGACCGTACGACCGTACCGTACCGTATACGGCCGTACCGTATCCGTACCGTACCCGTACCCAGCTGTCAGACTCCTGGTACGGTACGGCTACGGTGCGGCCGGCACCGTATCGGCACCGTAAAGGTACGGCCGTAGCCGTATACGGTACGCTGCCGATCCCTAGTTGCCATATGCCAGTGCTTCTCAGTGACTTTTTTGGCCTGTTTAGCTGGGGGTTTATCCTTCATGTCAGACGGCTTCTTCCGCCTCGAAACTATGACATCGACAGGAACCCATTGGATTGTGGAAGGTGTGGCGGCCATCCGGTGGAATGCATGGCTCCGAGCCAGAACGAGTTGAATATTGTCAGGGACGCATACCCGTTTGTTTGCCAATCAGGCGTCTGTTAGAATTATGCTCCACTAGTTCATTGTACGGATGGGCATGTCCCTAACGCCGAGGGCATGGCCCTCGCGCAAACGGGCATGGTGTTCTTTTCGGTAGAACCTCAATAAATGAATGGGCTTAGAATCCGTTGTCGCCGTGGCTCATGGTTTCTAAGGATGTAGTGTTCTGCTCTACATTGTTGTCACAAACAGCAACATTGACATGTATTTAATTTCCCTGTGTGCCTATTATAATGTGTAGATATCAAGGACTCATGGGATCGGTGTTACAAACAGCATCATTGACATGTATTTTTTTTTTCATTTCCCTGTCCTATTATCGTATGTAGATATCGAAAAAATCACGGTAAGCTCACCTTGGTCCTTGAAGCACAAAACTGACACAAATAACCATTTCCTGGTGCCAGCCCTGAAGCTTTCAATTCACCTACAGGCTACATAATGCAATAGGACATTGACAAGTCCTGAGCACAGTGATGGAGGAATTTAAGCAAATATATTTCTGGGGGAGGGCACAGGACATAGATTAAGTAATTAGGGGGCAGAGGAAGTGTCTAAGAGCTGGTTTAAGACCCCATGCCTGAAGTTTAAGTGTGGTGGGGCATCCGACAAACGGGCATGGGCACCCGACTAACAGGCATGGGCATGCCGGAATGTCGGGATGGGCATGACGAAATCAGCATGCGTCACCAAAACCATGCCCATGCCCGATCATGCCCGTTTGCCCGTTTGCGTGGGGGCATGCCTGTTTGGCATGCCGAAACTTAACTCTCGTGCATGAACCCAGCCAAATTCCTCTGCACGCGTGTCTATGCCAGTGGTTCCCTACTCTCACTTACGCACTGTTTTAATCGCTTGATCAGTGTCCCAGCCTGAATACTTCAGCCAGTACACTGACATTGGCCCAGCACTCGCCATTGCCTGATTCGGACGATAAGGGAATGCACGGCCATAGGCACCGGCTCAACGTGAGCTGCAAACGGCACCTCGAGGCGTGCCTCATGCCCAACATCATCACGCCAGCCTGTAGCTAACGCAGCGCCAACGGGATTCAAGTGAAATCACAACAGCAGACCAAAATAATAAATAAATAAAAAAGAGAAGAAAAATACTCTCGACCTGGGAGTCGAACCCAGCTTTCGCGCGACAGGTGGAAACAACACATGACAAGCGCGTGTACTAAACCGATATACTAGTCAAGATTTAATGACACACTTCACATTTGACACTATTAGTGTTAACCAGTTCGGGTTTAGGGAGTCAATTCGAACCTAATCCGAACGCTGGGTTCAGGAGCGAGAACGGATCGAGCGACCTACGGCGCCTCGGACGGCGAGCTTCTTCTATCCGTGCGTCTTGCGACTACATGCTAAGTCTAACCACATTTCAGGTTGAGCACACACGTGGCTTGTTCCCGCTACCACTCGCCACCGCCGCTGCCCCACTCCCGCTCCTATTACCGCCGCTTTCGCCGCCATTCTCCTGCCGTCGCCGTTCCCGCGGGGCGTCGGCGTCTCGTTGCACCCGTGCTAACCCGAGTCCACGGCCCGAAGCGGACTTCCACCCTCCGCTCGCACCGTACCGCCGGCGCCAGGCAAGGATGTCAACATCTCGGACCAGCTTATTATTGTTAAGACGGTCATTCAGAAGTCCATCGTATGCGTATTTATATTCAATCGAGCCTCCGCCAAGTATGGACTCCGAAAGACGTATGCAATACTCGTCAATGTGTCCATGCTCTCAGCCGCCGATTCCCCATAAGCCTCACTTGGTGAGTGAGTTCTGCTCATGTGTTGCTCTTCGCGTTCCTCTTCTTTCCTGTGTTCCTTCATACAATACTAGACTGCACGCAACTTGAGTGGCCGCCTATTTTACATTTACCACCCGATGCCCATATACTCCGTTTGAAACTAATTAGTATTTGTATATACTCCTGTAGTACATATATCTCATAATACACAGTTCTTTTGTGTATACAGTGTCATCGCAAGTGAAATGAACGGAAAATCGATTGGAATGCCAGCTAATGAGTCTCCAACTCCCTGGAAAACAAGGTAATTTGGTCGGAAATTCGAAGTAATTTTCTAGGGGGTAATTTAGGTAGTAAGGTAATGAAGGTATATTGGGGGAATTGGGGCCAATTTGGCGCAAGTTCCCCCTAATTGCTCCAAGTTCTAAAGGGTTTTCCTGATTTGAAACCCCACCTGCTTGAACCGCCCTCCGGCAACCTACTACCAACACAGGAAGGCTCTTTTTCGTACCCAACTCGCACGTCACTCCAAGGCCACACCACTGCAAACTCAGGCTCTCCTCTCGCACGAGAGTCACAACTTTTCTTCACTTCACCGCCATCGTGCGCAACTCCGCCCACCACTGGCACGGACTCTCCCTGTAAGAGATTTCAAATGTTTCTGTCGACTTGATTACACGGTTGCTCATAGTGTCATTCTCGAACAATGAAATAGCTGAGCGTTGTGTGAACTTGCTCGAGTTACATTCTACGTAGTACATTGAATTGATACAACTGGAGCTGTTTTCCATTTGGGTCACTTTTGATGCCTTTTTCCTATTTCCCTATATGTCACCTAAATCTCGTCCGTTTGTCCTGAAACTATGCGCTATTGATTCCCAGTGTCAATATGCAGTGTATGGGCAATTCCATGTGGTCCGGCCGATATTTTGGATTATGTAATTTTCAACAGAAACCCCTCGTGTGCTTATGACTAAAAAGTTGCACAAAATACAGAGATGCTTTTGCACAATATCCTTTCCATAGTATACAGATATCATCATGACTATCACGTCCGATACTCTGAGCGCCTGGTTCTTTCTTCTACTTCGGAACCCCGACCATGTGGCACTTCTCCGAGTCCGACCCAGAGCACCGGTAAACTCTGACAAGTTTCCACCCAGACTCATCCAAAAGGTCGTAAAAACCGCGGACCGTGCGCTCTACACCCCCAAGCATATTATGCACCTGTGCAATGGCGCCAGGCTTCAGATCGTGCGCTGTAAACGACGTCGGGCGACTCACTGTCAAATCAAACATGTACATCGAGGCGTTCGAGACACCGCAGTTGGGGAGGAGCGGCGCAGGCGCCGCCTTGCGCATGGCGCCGGGGACTGAGTTGATTTTGGGATCGTCGGACTCGCCCTCGGACACGACGGGTATAATGTTCTCGATGACGATGAGCTGCGTGGTAGGCTTTGCCGCTTTGCGCAAATGCTTGAGAATCACTATGTTCTTCTCATCCGGCCAGTCGTGGATAATGTGGCGGAGCATGAACACGTCGGCGTTCTGCGTGGGCTGGGGCCCAAAGAAGTCGTGCACTTGATGTGCCGAAATAAAATCAAACCCAGGGGCGAGGGTATACGGAAGAGAAGAACTGACCTTGAAGCTCCACCATCCTCCTCTGCACGTGTTCGGGGAAGTTCTGGTTCCAGTACTAACTGCCGCGTCAGATCGGAGCCGATGAGCCACACATTCAATCCACGCACCGCCTTCGCATCCTCTATGGTTGGCGCGAGATCCTGCACAACGACTTTGAACGTAGGATTTTGCTGGGCAATCGCCATCGACGCCGTCCCTATCCCGCCCCCGACATCGACTAGCACCGCGTCCGTTGGCAAACTTCCCCAATCATACCCTGTGTGAATGCATGTCAGACGGCGCAGGCCACGTGCATACTTGCGGACCTTTGAATAAGAGTCCCTCCGGCTCCCCGCCAAGCATGGCAAGGCCAAAACGCGACCTCCGATATCTATTCTCCGGGCGTGTAAACCACTGGAACATCGGCTCGTCGGTGCGTATCGCGCGCGCCAGGGGGCGCTGCTGGCCCGCAGGATCAAGCAGCGTGTCGCCCAGCTGCGCTGAGCTCTTGAAACAATCGTCCCCCCTGTTGAAGAAAGTAATTACGCGTGCACCCTCGAGGCGAGGCGGCTCACAGAAACTCAGCCATAGCCGCGATACCTGAGGTGCCTGTGAGTCTGTCTTCCCGCCTATGGTGCGAAGTCACGATCCAGCCATGCCACAGCATTTAAACATACTTTTCGAACAGGAGTGACGCGGGCTTCCCTTTGTCGAGCGTGGACGATATCCTATTGTTCGCGAACACGCCGGGTGTAACCTCTTGGAAAATGTGGTGCGTCGCGAGGAGTCGCAATATTCTGGCTTTAGGGATGTGAGCAGGGTACTAGTAGCGTCTGCGGATTCTAGGCCAGCTGACCTAATAAACTTGGATCGGCACGGCTCTGAGCTACAATGTCGTTTGCGTGCAGGCCCTGGCGCTAGTTCACAACACAAAACTCGGTCATAAGCATTAACCTTACCTGTGGGCCAGCTTCCCGCAGAATCTCAACGACATTCAACTCCGATGCGGTGCGAAGGCAGGACGATATTTGGAACTGCATCAGGATCACGTCGTAAAGCAGACACCCGGAACAATGGATACTGGTCACCTACCGCATGCGCCTCGAGCAGAACAGACGTAACGGGGTTGCGCGCCGTCGCGGTTATCTGAGCAGCGGCCGCGACGAGGTTCATCGTCGCGGCTTCCACTACGGGGTGCGCCCGAAGCGCCTCCGCGGGGTCCGTGGGGTCGTACGGACTGGGATCATCGAGGCGTGGCAACGGGACACCCGCGTCTGCGTAGGTGCCCTCAATGGCATCGACCGCGTCCGCGATGAGGTTGGAGAGAAGTCGCAAGGTCGAGATGGCCATCCTCAGGGCAGTTGTGGAAGAGTTGCTGGATTAGCTGCAGAGAGGGTGAGATAGGGAATGTTGATATATCATATGAGCGGGTGCGCCATTTATCTGTTGTCATGTTTCGGAGCGTTCTTCCTTTTCCACGGAGTGCGCTTACGGCCTTGACTTGATCGGGATGACAAGGGGGCCACGGGGAACCGGGGGTGTCACCGTCGGAGTACGAAACGATGGTTTGGAAATTTAAAGGGGAAGTAGATTTGATACAACTATAATCACCAACAAATTCTGATGACAACAGCCGACTGCATCATGGCATTGTGGCATCCGCATTGTGGCGTCGGCGACGCCACACAACTCCTACTACGGCCCTAAAGCGGAGCTCCTGTTCCTTCCCGGTACGCACGCTTAGGCATGCGCTGGAATACTTTCCCCCGAACGCGACTGGTCTTTCTTTAAGTCAGCAATGCCTCAAGGCAAGCGCAGGAAGGTACATCACAGCTAGGGGACATTTAAACATGTACGAAACTCCATCGTGACACGGCTTCGAAGTCTGATATCAAACGCAGATCACGCAATCTTTTATATCTGGATCAGCCAATCCGGGGAGCGAGGTTAATTGTTAGGTAGGTAGGTATCTCCGGTATATTTAGAACAGCCAATCCGGGAGCGACATCAATTGTTAGAGAAGATGAGACACATGCCCGGCGACGAACGGCCTGGGCATGCACAGGTTTGCGATAATTGATGAGAAAATAGCTTCTAACTCGTGCGGATGAAAACTTCGAATAGCTTCCTAAGGCGTTCCAACTGGCGACATTGCTTCTCCCGATCGCGGTTTTTGCTTCTCCCGATCGCGGTTTTCGTGTTATCTCAATTATCAGTATTATTCCTTCTTTACCCAAGGGAAAGCGAAACTGCGATCGGCATCTGTCATTGGAGCGCCTTAGTAAGCCATGAGGTTATAAGATGAATTCTTCCGGCCAGAAGACCGCCATCCAGCGCGCACCTCTACGCCATGCCCGGTGTCGATATCGCCCCCAACTTTGGGTCCTTGCTCATTGGAAGTAAATCATTCTTTATGCCAAATTATTGTCGACTGACGGGACCACACTCTAGCCTTCTTCGCAATCTTGTGAGAACCATTTACTTTTGGAATTTGGCGGCATACTCACAATACCGCTCCAGCTTTCAAGGGATGCTCACGGTTCAAGCCTACGTGTACTACGAAAGTTTCCCCCATGACTCGTTGAAGCTGAAAAGCTTGGTGAGTTGCTCGTAGTTCACGGCAACGTACGACTTAATCTGTTCAGGTGGCTCTAGTCTGGTGAGGAGCTAGTCCGAGGCGCTATAATGTCCCCAACGTTTGATATTCGCAGGACAATTGACCTCGCGCACCTCATCCTAATATGCAACGGGATGTACATCGCTCTCGTAACCAACTGGGGCAATATAGAGGCTCTTGGGACAACCATGGAAGCGTTTAACATACACATCTTA